CACATCCATGTGTGTGTGCATGGTATATTCTGCATGTATTCACATCCCAGGTATTTTCTGGGGTCAGTTTTTAACCTTCACGTGATCCCAAGTAGTTAACAAAGACACTTGATATTCTAAATTTAAGCAGCTCCGATGATTTCTGGCTGGATGCCTAGAGTAGGTGGGATTATTTCTATTCCCCACTGGATGTTCTTCATAGAAATGATTAGCATTTTTCCAGTTGGAGATTTTTTTTCTGTAATACCATGAGATCCTTTATCTTATTAAAGACTATTTTGTAAGATTGAAAGATAGATAGTATTTTTCCTGCATGGCTGAGCTAAAGGGAGTGCACTTGGACCCACAAGCCTGTTAGCATGATACTGATGCTCCTGTAAATGTTGGCACTCCTTGCACACCTGACCAATGAAAGAAATGCTGTGAAAATACCTTATGATGCTTATCACCAGAGATATGCAAGCAGCGTAACCTTTTTTTCCTGAAAACTTAATTGCATTAAGTAAAGCTATAACACTTCAAACACTCTGAAAATGGCTTGAAAGGAAGTTAGGGGAATATATATAAGGATGCGCCTTGTCACTTCTTGTGGAGATCTGATAACAAGCAAACACTGAAATGCATGATGCTAAATTGCATCCCTAGGAAGTCTGATAGTCAGGATAAAAAGGCCATCAGGGAGCCCTTATTGAATGCTTTTGGCAGAGACGTGTTTGTACATGCACGTAGGCGAAGCGTGGCCTGACCTGCTGCCTTACGGGGATGTCCCTGGGGGTCCGATGGCCTAGGCGGGCACTGGTCCTCCCAGACACGGGACAGCACCAAGGATCCTGACCCCAGGCCTCATTTACCCCAAGGGCTGCAAATTACTTCAGCCTGCAGTTGACGTCTACCTTTCCAAACGGACCGGCTGACAACCCCTGACTGTAAATCAACTCCACTGTGCTATCAGGACGTGGGAAAATTCAATCGTTACAGCACGAAAGCAGTTGCCAGCTGCCTGCTCTCGCTTGACCCGTGGTGACGTGGCAGCGGCCCCGGGGCCGGCAGTGCTGGCTGCAATGCCAGATCAGGTCAGCCGAGAGCACGAGTCACCACGAGGTCACCCAAGCCCCTGCTGCTGCAGGGCAGGAGCTGCAAAGCGGGCTGAAATGGCCTCCAGGGTCGGTAATAAAATCCCGCCGGCAGCCAAAGGAAGAGATGGTGACTTCAGTGTACTTCTGCCAACATTGTGGCTGCACGGTGTCCTAAAAGCTTGGAGTGAAGGAGGAACAGCCTTGGGGCAGAGGGGTAGCCCGGATAATCTCATTTTCTGTATTTCCATGGGTTTAAGACCTTCATCAGTGACCTGATTCACAAATTGTCTTGCTTTGGCTCTGTTTTTGTAGCCAATGAAAGCAAGCTTTGCCTTTCCAAGCATGCAGACCGCAGGCTGGAGGGCTGCAGGGACTTGCACGGCTTCTCCACACATGGGCAGCTGGAAGTGCCCTCCCTGCCATCCCCCCCCAGCCCAGGTCTGATGTCTGAGCCAAAGTCTGGCTTTTCCTACCACTATAATAAAGGAGAAAAGCGTTCCTCGTCTCCTGGCAGGCAACTCCACAACCACCTCCACACGCTCGGCTATTTCTGCATGGGCTTTTTCTTGCTTAGGGAAAAGAGGCTCGGGGGGTGTCTTTGAAGACAAGATCAAAGCAGATAGGAGGCATCCGCTCCTCTGATTCCCTAATGTGCATTTTACTGCCAGCTCTCTTCCAGTCTGGCTATCACACTGTGGAGCAAAAATATTGCAATAATATTCATTGATACAAAGACTTGCTCTTCAGCAGCCCATTTTCTTTTTCTCCTAACGAGCTACTCCTCCCAGGGATGCAGGACAGACAGCCACTTACCTGAACCAGCCTCAGAAATCACCATAAAACCATTGGTGTTTTGGTGGGTATCTGAAATTCAGGACCACCACCACGCGGGGAACTTCACTTGTGAAAAACAGCTTAAAAGCAAGCAAATAAGCAAACAAAAATCATCTGATATAAACTGGAAATTCATACCATCTAGGTATTTTTGTCAAAATAATTTCCTACTGGAAGTTGCTACTTTAATTCCTTTTTTGGTATAGAATTTGCAAAGAAAAATTGTCCTACAAATAGAAAAGTTTTAAATGAGAGTTTCTGCATGAAATACACTGTTTTTAGGTTTTTAATGCAGGAGTTGCCTTTTCAATGTTTTGTACTTTTTAAATATAATTCATTTCTTGTGTATGATGATTTCACATTATTTACCTACTCATGAATAATAATGATATACTATGATTTTATAATGACTTTTGATAAGAAAATGTCTAAAACCAGCCTGAGGTTTGAAAGTAAGGATAATATTTTGTATTTTAAACCATATTTTTAATCAAGTTTGGAAAATGTGAGGGTCCAAGTTTGAAATTCATAGTCAGTTTGACTCACTAATTTAGTTCCAACATTTTCTCGGCACAGCTTGCTTCCTTTCAGTAATGAGAACAGGAGCTGTAGCTGATACGAGGGAAAAATAAGAAGTTCTTGAAAGAATAATATTGTCATTCACCTTGAAAAAAAGGTGAGGTTCTGTGACTGATTCCTGCACCAATAGCATGAAAATAACAAAGATAAGTACAAGTACTTATAGCAATCTATTTGAACGCATCATGATGCCGTTAGCAAGTATTGATATCTGTCAGCCAGCAAAACAAAAATTGGCCACTATGATAAAAAAGCAAGTGTCATAATATCACCTACATTGGTTTTGCTGCATTTCTTGAAAATTCTTGTATAAATGTTCAAATTATTAAAAAAGAAACTTATAAAATTAAGATCTACATGAAATTCTAATTAGCTGCAAATATGAAAGGAAACAAATGTCCATGATGCCCAGGCACATACTGAGTTGGCTAAAGGGTCAGCTCCTTGCTGGATACCTGTCTCTGAAAGAGAAAACAAGAACAGCAGATCCACTTGGTCTAATCAGATCAAGTCACTGAGAAGCATATGTTACCCAGAGCCTGTATTAGCTTCACTCTCATAGTCCTCTGTGAAATAATAACTATGATGATATCGATAATAAGCCTCCCAAACTATCTGTTTTGCACTATGTTTACTCACTGCAAGGGAGGCACGTGCTGATAACTTCTCCCTTGAGTCAAACACTTTGTGATGGCCCACAGAGCCATGGGTACACCATTTTACTTAAAAAAAAAAAAAAGCTTCTGACTAGTCCTGTTTATTAGCAAGAACTACATACATTGGCAGGAGGGCTGCACATCACTTTTGGCAGGAGTTGTAAGGGAAGTTGACATTTCATCGCTCTCAGCTGCAACCAGCTCCTTCTTAGCCGTGGGAGGTGAAAAAGGATCAAATATCTGCTCTCAACTTCATCTTGCTTAGTGCTGGCTTTTGAAAGTTTGTGTCAAAACCTTAGTGTTGCTTGAATACAATTTTCTGAATTTAATTGGCACAAACACAATACAGAGGCGTTCAAACATGCAGCAGAGGACAGAAGGAGTGAAGGGCATCCCTTAATAGACTAGAAATGCATTAAGGCTTTGTGCTGAGTAGCAAGACTGTCATACAGAAATGAGGGTCTGTGCCAAAAGTCCCTCTTAGGGTTGCCTTCTGCTGGCTTTCAGCTCTGCGTGGAAGAGGAGAGCAGCAACGACGCAGCGTTACGGGACGCACAGCTGCGGGCTAGGGGTGCGCAGTCATAAAGGTGATTTAATAACTTCTGTCTCATGAAAGAGAGTTTTTTAGGATTCGACTCACTGCTGAGCTTATGGTTAACCACACGTTCGCGAACACGACTCAGTCTGTTGCTTCTCAGGAGATGGGTCCAGCGTGCACTCAACCCCCCTTCAGCACGAGTGCCCAACGGCACGGCCTGGCGTGCGTGCTTCGGCTTGGTGACGCTCCTCTTCCAGGAGAAACCTTTCTGCACAGCCACGACCGGTCCCAAAACAAACGGCAGAAAAATTTACTTTAACTCTTTACTTTAACTGGCTGCTTTAACCAGGGCAGCTCCCAACAGGGGCTCTCTGCCCCCGCCGCTGCCCCAAAGCCCGGCGCTGCCGAGACGGACCAGGTCGGCAGAGGCCTCTGAGCCGAACTGCTCGGGCTAGCCCAGCTCGGGGAGACTGAACCGCGCTGGCCACTGCAGGGCTGAGCTTTCCCGGGGAGTGTTAAAAGACTGTTGAAGTAACTATGCTAAAGCCATCGGCAGGAAAGGGATGTAGATGTAATCTGTTCTTTTTAAGGTACTTCTATTTTAGCCATTAGTTTAATCATTTAATTACTCTATAGCGAAGCAAAAAATACAAACTGCCACACACGATATTAATTTTACTTGATGGTATCTTCCACTGAAATTGTGCAAATAAGGGATTTGGGTTCAATAGACCATACATTTTTCTAAAACAGCTTCAGATTTACCTAATGTTTTCATTCAACCTGAATGGAACATTTTCCTTCACTTTCATAGCATTTAGTTCTTTTTAACCATTTTTCTTGACATTTAAGTAAATTGCAGGATATTTTGTGTTTCATAATTAAAAAAAAAAGAAATTATTCACTTTGAAAATGGCTAAATAGAGTACCTAGACATTTCTGAAAGTAAGAATTATTTTTTTCCACTGAGCCTATTCACCAAATTCTTCTTCTGCTGAGCAGCTACTTCAGTTCCTCCCATTTCTTTTCTTTTCTAGGAAAGAAATTGGAACTCCCCAAATTCACCAAAACATTTTCACTGCCCTGTTTCTGTATGTATGCTTCACATTTTTCCACAGATATTATTTATTTTTCTCACTGGTTTACCTGAAAAGCCAAATGCTCACAAGGACGCGTTCAGCCAATCCTCTGCGGATTCCACCCGAGACTGCTCCCATCTGACCTCCCGGCACCTCCTGGCCTCTCCTCCTGGACCAAGTGGGAGATGGGCGCCACCTAATTCCCACTGTGCACCCTCTCTCTTTGTGTCCTCACCAGCTTAGCAGAGCCTCTACCCCTCCGAAGTGTTTCCTGAGAAAGCGTGCCTTGGGGCTGGAGACAGTCGCTGAGGCCACTGGCTGGCCTCGGCCCCAGGCTGGGTGACTGGCAGTACGCCGGAAGCTCCTGGACATGACGTGACAATTGCCAGACGGGAAAGGTAAGGGTGCGGAAAGCTGGGAAAAGTTATGGGTTGGGCTAGGAGGGATGGCTGGACTTTGCAGGGGGCTACAGGGTTAGCTGGGTTAGAAATGGCCAGACTGGAGATAACGGGGGAGAGCATCAGGGACCTTCTAGGGAGCGTGACAGGGCCAGCAGCACTGAGGCAGCCATGCCAGGGATACCACGCAAGGCTGCGATTACCTAGGTGACAACATCAGAAATACCAGGTTTGGGTTTGGATGTACCAAAACTGGGTGTAATGGGGAAAAATTAATCAGGGGCAGGCTGTTCATTTGGAAGGAAACCGGCATGTAAAAAAGGGAGAGGCAAGGACAAGGAGCAGAAGAAGGGATAATAAGGTGTGCAAATCATGTTTTTGGTGCTGTTCAGGGATGGGAGGGCTCCCTGCCAGGCAGCCCTGCACATGGTCACCACAGCCTAAATCAGGACATTAACTGAAGCCTGTTGTCCTGCCCCCACAGTGTGCGACAGCCCTGCTGTCCAGGGAGGGGGTCGGCATCGACTTCTACCCACCGCTTCTGCACAGTAGGTATTTACTTTATTCACATTTGCTTCCTGAAAAGGGTCTTTAATGTAAATTTTGACTTCTTTTTTAAAGAATTGCCAGCTTGGTGACAAATGGAAGAAATGAAAATTCCAGATTTGTCTCATTCTTATTGGGTTGCAAATACTAAGCATTGTGGAAACACCGCCCGAGCAGAACAGAGATTTATTTTCAAGAACATGAGCAGTTTAATGTCATTTACTTAAAACTGCATTCAAGAAAAAGTGATGCCTCTGCATTACTCTCTGTCTCCCCTTAATGCCACTCCATCTTTAATCCGTATTGCTATTCAATAGAAATAGCTTACTCCCACATTTGAGTACTGATTGCGTTAGAGTCTGCATTTCAAACACCATTGCTGCCACAAGCAACAAATGCTGGTTTTAGATCTTTCATTTGAAAGAAAGGTCACTCGCTTTTTTTAAACAATAGAAGGAGAGAATAGTCAGTCCAATGTTCACTTTATTCTTACTCAAGCTTTTAAAGGGGGAAAAAAAAAAACCCAGTGTACCAAGGTAATTTCTAAAGTTTTAATATAGTTACACAGAATCAACAGAATCTGGCAATAAGAGCTCAAGTTTTCGCAAGGTGCTATTGTACATTTCTGACAATGGCACAACAGTGTTGTGAAAAGATATCAGATAAGAAGTACAGCTGATTGAAATTTGAATTGCAAGTTTCTTACAACATTTTTCAGAAGACAAAGACAAAAATCTCCAGAAAATAATAAAAAGACAACACTTGAATATTAACTCAAGGCTAACAAATATACCAAGGTTTGACTTTAAAGGGATTCATCTGGTTTATGGGGCCTTAGAGGGCTTATAGTCCTTAGAGGGCTGCTGTATTTAATTAGAAAAGACAAGCTGCTTCAAAAGGTGACTCCTCAAGATCTCAATCAATATTTTGGGATCCTCATCTCTTTCAGCAACTCTCTAGGAAGCCCATGGAGACTAATCCCTTGACCTGGCCATCTACGGTATATGGCTAGGGTTGGGCCACGTGAACATCTCCTCGCCCTGTGAAAACTGAATAGTAAATGGACTTCAAGTTGCCCTAGGCTTTCAGGCAGCTCCAGCTGAGTTTCCTTTTGCCCGTGACTTGGCGGGTGGGAAGATCTCCATTGCTTCTTCAACTGCCTGCTGTCCACCTGTCACTGAGGGCTTCCCAGTCCAGCCTACAAACTTCCCTGTGGATTTTTCCTTCAAGGTTTTAGGATTTAGCTCTTTTTTTTTTTCCCCTTTTTAATTTTCTCTGGCAATATCCCTAACCTTTTGGAGGTGATGATCATGGAAATAGCCAGTGCTTTCTGGGACATAAGCAGCTCTCTACAGAAGAGACATCTCATGGCTGCAAGGTGCCGGCTTCTGTCCCTTTGGCTCCCCACTGCTCCTCCGCTGAGAAATCCATACCTCTTCTTCATCACCCGCTGTTCAAAAGGTCACCATTGGAGAGAAAGGAAGTTTCCCTGTCCTACCTTTAAAGACAGAGAAACTGAGGCACAGTGCTGAAGTGCGAAATAGTCTCACTGTACTTTTACTTTTGGACTTCTGGTGAAACACAGGTATGAATTACTGCCAGCTGCTTTTGCACAGGTTTTTTGAGTGAACGGTGAGGAGAGGATTCAGTGTAAATACTCTGTCAGTCCGGTTTGGACCATAGCAGACAGCTCACGTAAGCCACAGATCAGAGCTGTTCCTTTGCCATATAAACTATTCTTCCTGAGGAATAATACAAGTAATAAAATCATCACGGCTTTTTTTTTGTGATTGTGGTAAACACCTTTCATTACTTACACCAAAAACACCCATAGAGGTCCTCCATAAATTTGAAGGCAGAAATAAAGTTCCATTTTGGGTGACTGACTTAGAGATAATTTCTCGAGCTTATGGCCAAACAAAGGGAAGAAGTACAAGTATAGACTGATCTACTTGAATTTTTGTATAAGCTAATTGCAGCTTTGCAGGATGAAATCACATTGGCACATTATGTCGTTATCATTTAGGACTTGAAATGCAACAGACAGCCCTGGAGTTCGTCTAGTTCTCCCACTGTGAAGGCAACGTCTCCCTCCTGTCGCCAGCCCAGGCGAGACGAGTCAAGTCAGCACCAGAATAGTCCTTTCTGGCATGGTGGATGTTGCTCAAAAATACAGCTTGGAGAAATGATATGAAGCAACCTTATTTTCTGTGAGTGCTGTTGAGTGCAGCAGTTGAGGACATCGGTACAGGTGACACCAGTGCTACAAGGAGAGTAAACCACCTTCTCTGGGAAAATAGCTTAGCTCCTTGCTTCAGTGCTTCCTCCCTTATCAGGTAGATGCTTTTTCCTCTTTATTTCTCATACAGAGCTCAGCTAGTGCAGATACAATTTCTTCATGTGCATTATTCAGAAACATCACTCCTGAGACACAGCATGCTTGTTGCAGGGAAGTTGTGGCCATCTGGGAGGATTTTGAAATTCTCGTTGAGATCTGTCTCCTCTTGAGTGTTCCTCCTCTTTCTTCTATAGCATGTTCTGACCAATGTTTTTATCCTTTACCTCACCTTTTTTTTGAAAAATCTGAGCTTTTTGCATTTCTCTAGATCTAAATGAACAACAATGACTTAGATCATGTGCATTGAGATACGATTCTAGCCAGTCGTGGCTGATCATAGCCTGTAGATGTCACACCACTCCCTCTGCCTCGTGAAACCTCACCTGCCAATGCTATCAATCTGGACAGTAGCTATCCCAAATTCAAGCAGAATTTCACTCTGTATAGACTATTCAAAGGGAATGAATTCACCGCATGGCATATTGAAAGACCTGATTACCGTTTATTATATGATGCCTTTCTACTACTTCAGCAGTATCAAAAGGCTTTATTGTAAGTGAGATTAAATAAATACAACAATAAAATGAATAGAGCAAAAACATGAAATAAAAGAGTACGAATGTGTCCTGATTGATAGCATGCTCCTATAGACTATTGCCACCTGTTTAGAGTACACGCCAACATTTTTATAAACTGTGCTTACAAAACATAACTGAAGCAGGCTGGAAGAAAACATCAACCAAGCAGCCCTGTTTAAGGAAGGCATCGAATAGGAAAAGAACAGAAAAGGAGAGGTGCTGAGCTGACTCAGCATGTGGGCTGTAGCTGGAACAAAAGGATTTTTCAGTTCATGCCAAAAATACTCATCAGCACTGCTGCTTTTTTAAGCTTGAACTTATTATAGGTGACTTTTCTCATGGCTGATGAGTCTTGTGGAAAGCCACACGGGCTCGAGAATGGGTGGCTGTAAGACCCCTCACTTTCTGATCGCTTTGGGAGTTTCCTTGGAGAGGTGTTTTTGCAGCAGCTGTGAGTGGGGCAAGGTGGGACCCCTGCGCTGTGCTGCCCACGGCCACCCCGAGCTGCTCCCTGCGGGGCTCTGCAGCTGAGCGTGCCTCAGCCCTTCCTCTTCCTCCTTTCATAGTGCTGGAGGGCAGAGGCTTGCTCGGGACACCAGCACAATCTGCACCCACTGGTGGTCCCAGCTGGTGGAGTAGGTATCATCAGGGGGTGGGGGGAGATGCCCCAGCATGGTTGTGTTTTATGTGGCTCATTGCATACTAAATGGTCAAAAAAAACCAAAAACACAGGTGATCAAAGAAGTATTTTTCCTTGAGTAGACCTCATTATCACAAGACATCACTGAGCCCAGAAATCTAACAAGCTTCAGAAAGGACTGCACATTTATGTCATTAAAAAAGAAAAACTAAAATTATCACGGTGAAGAAATGCAAGGAATTTTTTTTCAAGTTTCAGGTTTAAGCAAACATTTAAGAATTACAGACTGGAAAGAGATTCACTGTGGAAGCAAACGTGACTCCTGCTTACCACAGCGATCTCACACCATGTGTTAGTTTACCTATGCTATGAATAAGAAAATTGGTGTGCCTCAGTTCCCACAGAAAGAGGAGCACAACCATATTTCCTACGGCCTGAGCTAGCCACTTAGCAGTGGAAGCAAAACCTGCTAATCCTCTTCTCCTGCTCGTTTCTGGTAATGACCTGGACAATATTATGTGGTTATTAGTACAGCGCACAGATAAATCCTTTTGTGCCTTCAGCAGGCATCGAATCATTGGCATGAATCAAGTTCCCATGCAGAACTAATTGCAGCCCACTGGCATTTCTCGCCAATTGCAAATGATGGTAGCTTTCCTTGAAAAAAGCACTCTATAGGAAGGATCCTTTTGTTAGATACTATGTAAGTGACTCCATGCCAAGTCTGGTCGTGTTTTTCTTAGCTGTGGCAAGCAGACCTTTTTTAGAAAGCTCAAGCTACACTCGCATTTTTTGGCACTTCAAAGAATATCACCAATAATGATGTCTTAGAACCTGAACATGTTTGATAACTTGCTAATCTGAAATCAAATAGATCTAAGT